ATGTTGGCAATTTGATCTCTGGTTCCTCTGCCTTTTCTAGATCCAACTTGAACATCTGGAAGTTCTCAGTTCACATGCTGTTGAAGCCTCGCTCAGAGAATTTTGAGCATTATTTTACTAGCATGTGAGATGAGTGCAATTGTGTGGTAGTTTGAACATTCTTTGGCATTACCCTTCTTTGAGATCGAAATGAAAACTGACCTTTTCAAGTCCTGAATCCACTGCTGAGTTTTCCAGATTTGCTGGCCTATTGAGTGCAGCACTTTCACAGCATCATCTTTTAGGAGCTGAAATAGCTCAGCTGGAATTCCATCACCTCCACTAGCTTTGTTCGTAGTGATGCTTCCTAAGGTCCACTTGACTTCGCATTCCAGGATGCCTGGCTCTAGGTGTGATCACACCATTGTGATTATCTGAGTCGTGAAGATCTTTTTTGTACAGTTGTTCTGTGTATTCTTGCACCTCTTCCTAATATTTTCTGCTTCTGTTAGGTCCATACCATTTCTCTTCTTAATTGTGCCCATCTTTGTTTGAATTGTTCCCCGTATCTCGAATTTTCTTGAAGAGATCTCTTCAAGGCTTAGAGAGACCTCAGAAGTCTGCCCAGTGCTCAAAGCCACACCCTTCAAGGGTCCACATGCCCAGGACAGCACCGTCCTGTGGGCAGATTCCAAGCAGTGTGTCGGGATGCCTGAGACTCTGCATCCGTGAGGGAATCCCGACAGCTGGGGCCCAGGCCGCAGCCCTCACTGTGTGTGGGTTCTGGGCTCCCGGCCTGATCCCAGTGACCAAACGTGCAGCTCACTGCCCTCTGTGTCCTGACACGCGTGCCCCCGGGAGGACCAGGAGGAGCAAAGCTGGTCCCAGACAAGCTCCCCGCACCTGCAGCTCCACCTCCCAGCCGCGGCCGGGGACTCAGCAAACTTGGAGGTTCACAGTCAACATGCTGAGCTTCCAGAACTGACTTCCAGGTTTTCCTTTGTTAAGGAAATCCTTTCTACAACTTTGAAGCAACACTCAGTCTAGTGCCCAGAAGGGCTTTCTTCCCTTTGAAGAATGTTGGCAAAGGGTTCAGGCTGATAAAGCGTGTCACTGGGGTCAGCGCGGGAAGGCAGGCGTGGAAGGGGCGACGTGTGGTGTGTGCACCTTAGGGGCCGGGTGGCCCGGGGCCAAGCGGCAGAGTCCCTGGGCTTCAGCATCCTCGCCTGTGGAACGCGGACGCTCTGGGGCGCCTCGGGTGTGGCGGGGAGAACACGAGGCTGACACCGGCCGGGACGGCCTATGATGTGCAGACAACCCTCGTCAGCATGAGCACAAGCCGCTCAGTTGTGGTTTCAGCTCCTCTCGCCTCCGCTGGTGCCCGGGGAGTGGGGGAGCTTACACAGACGTGCGGGGATTCCACAGCCTGGATCGCAGACTCGAGGGTGGGAACTGGTCTGCACAGACATCAGTAACGGCGGTGAGTTTCAGACTCGAAGCCGACAGGAGATGTGGCTTAGATGACACGGTGGTTTTATATGGAAGATGCTGACCCAACGGAGCCAGCCCCCAGGACCCAGCTCCACTGCAGAGCCAGAGGCGGGGGGCGACCACAGGCCCCCCTGGGACCTGGGGCTCATGCACTGATTTAGAAAGGCTCTGCCTGCCTGGAAGGTCAGACACCCCTGAATCACTGAGAGCAAAGGGGGCGCCTCCGAAGCAGGGTTTGTTGGCTTCCCCCAGAGCTAGCTGGAGTTGGGGGGCCGCATGCAGCCTTCTTTAGGGGCCAAGGAGACAGGCAGGTGAAAGGCCGACCGGGAAGACTGTTGGCCCCTGCCCTCTTTCTTAGGGTCTCAGGATGGGAAGCACTGTCGGAAGACACGTGGTCATGCGGGAAGGTTACACGTCTTCTGGAAACAGCACTCAGCACCCACACCCCCTCGGGTGAACTCACCCAAGCCTTAGGCCCAGGGCCATGCTGTGGGGTGACCAGCCACCCTGCCAACTCTGCCTCTCATATAAGAAGGCCTCAGAGTTTCTGAGCACAAGAATTCAGTCAGACTAATCAAGTATTGATCGTTAATTAATGTCTCATTTTGAGTGTGTATGTGCTAAGTTGTGTCCGACTCCTTGTGACCCCATGGACTGTAGCCCACCAGGCTCCTTTGCCCATGGAACTTCCCAGGCAAGAATACTGGAGTGGGTACCATTTCCTTCGCCAGGGGATCTGCCCGACCCAGGGGTCAAACCGGCATCTCCTGCGCCTCCTGCATCGGCGGGCAGAACCTTTACCACCGTGCCACCATCTCGTTGACTATTATTATTTCCATTGCTATTCTCATTCGCTGAACATCACATTTTTTCTAATTGATGACATTCTCAAGTTATTTGGCATGTGTGGACACGTCCGAGTAAACTTGGAAAGTGCAGTGCAGGAATATGAGTGCTCCACCTTCGTGATGGAAGGCGAACGGCCATTCCCCTGGGACAAGACTCAGTGGCTCAAAGGGAGACTGCTGGCCCAGGGCCCCAAGTTCGGACGGAGTGTGGCCCGGGGACCCAGTGTCCATGGCATCCCACAGCCAAGCCAGAGATGGGCACTGATAGAACCTGGGAGTTCCAGTCCATCCTAGAGAGAGCCCAGCCACGGATCCAGCTTCGGAACCAGGCAACCGGGTTTGAGCCCTCCGGGGGATCCCCTGAATTATTCATCCCCCAGCAAATATTTGCTCAGTCAGCCACTTCATGCAAGGCACTGCGATGAATAACACACGATTCTCTCCCTCGAGAAATCTATCATTTAGGGGAGACAGGCAGGTTAATTACTGACTCTCATGCAAGGCTGGATGAAATAAACGCTTTAATAAACGTCTAGGAGGTGCATCACGGAGGGGCTGAGAGCCAGTGATTGGACCTGATTGGAGGCATTGGGGTGAGCTGGCGTTTAGGCTGGGCCTCAGAGGATGCCACAGGCAAGAAGAGCAAGAATTGCAAGACCCAGGTCCTGAGCTGTGACCTCACTCATCACTGTGTTTGCTGTTGAACTATTCAAATGGCATCCAAACATGAGTCTGTCCAGTGCCCTGGCCTCCCCGTGAAACTAACCACCTGCGTTAGGCCTGCCCCTGTCTGTCTGTGTTTCTGTAAGCAAATGAGAGTCGTGCTAATAACAACTTCTTCTGCACCCCTCCCAGACACAGTCTGTAACCTGCTTCTCACTTAGCATCGTGTTCCAAGCACCTTCCCCACAGGGCGCAGACCCCTGCCCCTTCTCACCCCTGCAGATCACCCGGGTGCGGGGGCCTTTCCCACACTTGCTGGGATGGTGAACAGCCATCTCCAGGCGGTTCTCACTGGTTCTTTATCTGTCATCCACCTAAACATCCACCGTGGGCTTCAGGAAGTCAGCAGCTACACGTCCTAAAGGCTGGCACTCAGCCACAGTGTCTGACACAAGCGAAGCGTGGGAGCCGGGAAGAACCAGTCTTCGAGCTCTGGGCAGTCCACTGCCCGGGGGGTCGTCCCTGGAGCTCAGGGTGGGGCAGAGGCCTTGCAGGAGCTCAGCGCCCACAGCCAGGCTGTCTGGGAGAGAGCGCCAGCCGCATGTCCTGGGGGTGTGAGGGTGCCTCTCCCATCACAGCTGGGACCCCTCTGCTCCGAGGCTGGGATGCTTCTAGGTGAGGCCCCCAGGCCGGGAGAGGACGCAATGGAGAGGGAACAGCAGACACAGATGGGCTGACACGCCCCACGCCCCCAGGGACGTGAGCCACCACACCTCCTGGTCTCCCTCCTCCTCTGAAACACCAAGGACAGGCCTAGAGGATTCCGCGGGGATCAATACAATCGTTCATGTGGAGAGCCTGCAAGTGATTCATTTCAGGCATCTTCTGAAGTTGGCGGGAACACACTTGCTGACGGGTGGGTGTGTGGGATGGGAGGTCGTGATGGGGGGAATGACGCCCCCCCAGGGGGGTCGTGTATGATGGAAACACGGGTTCACCCCCGCCGAGATGGCAGGCGCGGGGTGCAGGCTTGGGTGGGAGGGGACGTGTATCCTGAGATGCCCACTGGGCACCTGAGCAGGGACCCGGAACCCCACCAGTTGCCCAGGTGGATCTGGAGTTCGGGAGAAGGGCTGTCCTGGAGCTCAGGCTGAGACTCACCAGCACAGAGACGATGCTCGTCTCGGGGGGAGGAGACCCCCCTCCACCTCCCCAGGCAGAGAGGAGGGACAGCGGGGAGGGCTGGAGGGAGGAGCCTGAGGGGGGGAGGGGCCCCGGGAGCCCCAGAGCAGGGCTGCTCTTCTGGCCAGACGCTCACACGGTTCAAGGTCAAGAAGCCGGAGATCACACCTGGGGTCAGGCGGCGGGGAGGAGACGGCGCCAGAGCAGAGGGGTGGTCCGGGTCTGCAGGACCACCTGGGGGCTTCTGACCTCAGACGGAGACAAGCCGTTAGGGGGTCTGCTGACGGGAAAGACAGGGAACCGGGGCCAGGAGGAATTTGGTATTTTTTTATCCCCTGAGAGGAGACAAATGGCTGCACATTTGCATGCAAATTGGAAAGACCAGGAAAGAGAGAAGGTGGGATGATGCAGGCAGGGAGGATGGAATTGCTGCTTCCTGTCCCGGGGTCGTGAAGAGTCGGACACAGCTGGGACACTTCGCTTTCACTTTTCTCTTCCATGCACTGGAGAAGGAAATGGCAGCCCACTCCAGTATTCTTGCCTGGAGAATCCCAGGGACGGGAGCCTGGTGGGCTGCCGTCTATGAGGTCACACAGAGTTGGACATGACTGACGTGACTTAGCAACAGCCCTGGGCAGCAGCGGGGCGGCCTGCTCAGGGAAGAAGGGTCTGGCCCCTGGAGGAGCCGGCCGCTCACCCGGTCTAGAAAGTGTGATCCGCTGTGATGCTCATACGGGATCAGCCGGGTGATTGGTTCACAATAGAGGCGTTTGAGATGGGGTAGGGCAAGCACTAGGCAAAGCCCTCGGGAGATGTTAGTGCCACCGGCCTCCCCAGCCCGGCCACACCATGTGAAGGATGGGGTGATACAGCCGGGGGACGGCCGAGCCTCTGCGACCCTCAGGACGACGGTGGACAGGGTGACAGATGCGGGTCCGGGCTCAGAGACCGAGGAGCAGGACGCGGGCGGTGGGGCCTGCAGCCGGTGAGAGGTCGTTCCCCGTTCATCATACAGATGGCTCTGCCCGGATCCGCTCATTGCAGTTTTATAGGTTATTTTCATCTTAATGTGCAATTTATCTTTCCTCATTCCAAGCCTGCAGGCATATTGCACTCCTGCCCCCGAGGGTCCCTCTCCACGTTCAGCTGCCTTGAACAGAAATCACACCAGGGATCACCTGAAGAAGGAAGCTTCAAGGCGGAAGGCCTTCCACGTGGGGGCTGTCCGGCCTCTGCTTCTGATCCAGACTGGGCGCCCTCGTCCTGAGAGTCCAGCCAGACCCTGCGTGGTCTGCACACTGCCGGCGGGGCGTCCGAGCCACCGCGCCCCCTCCCCAGGCATATGCGGAGTGGAAGTAGCAGAGAACCATGCCCCCAACGTAACCGCCCTCTGACCTGGGTGTCAGGGAGCGCCAGGTCTCCCCCTAGGCCTTGATGTCCCGTGTCAGCCCCTGCACCCCTGGAAAAGCTATCCCAGCTCTGCAGCGAAGGGCCCCACCTGAAGGGGGGAGACCGAGGTGAGGTTTGAGGAGGAGACACAGAAGGAAGGGGACCCGCTGGCTCCTCCTCGCGGTTCTGGGAGAAGAGGGTCCCAGACTCAGGCCCCCCAACCCCCAACCGGAATGCCTGGCTAGCAGCAGGACCCCAGGGAGTGGAGCGGGGAGACGGTGTTATGGAAGCGACCTGACGCAGGGCCGAGGCCGCAGTGATGGCTCCCAGAGCCACACCAGGCATACAGCAGGCGCTTAGCAAGGATCCGTGACAGGTGAACGGATGGACGGAGGAGCGAGGCAGGAGTCGGTGGGCAGAACCTGCTCGGAGCCCACCTGGAGCCTTAGCATGCGGAGTGGGAGCCAGTGAGCAGCAGCTGGAGAGTCTCCTAGAGACCCATCCCCGCCCCGCCAGAGACCACAGGCTCGGGCTTCCCGTCCGCCTCTGGGTCCCAAGAGCGAAGGAGAGGAGCACTTTGAAACTAGGAAAACTCAGCCCCTCCGTCCAGAGGCTGGGGGTCTCTTCCCTGAGAGGGGTCTGCACGGTTTTCCTCCAGCCCGGCCGACACAAAGAAGCCAAATAGCTGGGAGGCTCTGAATGGTTGATCTTCATGAAGAGACGGAAGACTGTTCACACACTTTCACGTGGTAACTCACATGATCCTCACAACAGCCCTGCTTTTATTCACATCATACGTTGAGAAGACTGGACCCTTACACAGCCCCACAAGACTGTGGTCAGTGTATTGATCACTGGGAATTAGACCCAGGCAGTGTGGCTCCATGGGGCTCACTCTTAATCTCCACACTGAAGTCTCCCTTCTCCCAGAACCCTGGGCTGTAGCTATCCACTCAGTGTCCATCTGTCCTCCCATCCAACCAGCTGCCCACCTGTCCACACATCCATCCATCCAACCATTTGTCCATCTGTCTATCCCATCCTTCCAACCATCCATCCATTAATCCACCCAAATGTTAATCCATCTGTCCATTTGTTTGCCTGTTGTTCATCCATCTATTCTTCCATTCAACCATCCATTCTCCCCACCGTCCATCCATTCAGCCGTCCACTCACCTGTTCCTTTATCCTTTATCCATCTGTTAATCCATCTGTTTGCCAGTCTGTCCATCCACCCATGCAACTATCCATCCACCCATCCATCCACCTATCCATCCATTCAACCATCCACCCATCTGTTCATTTATCCATCTGTTAATTCATCTGTCCATCTACTTGGCTATCCATCTCTCAGTCCATCCATTCGTTGGTATATCTATTACTAGCAAGTCTTATGGGTTATGGGTGAGCTGGCAGTCCAAACAAGCTGACAAAGGGAAGGATAGGAGATGACACGCTCTGCTGCCTGAGTTATCACATGGGTTAGTCTGTTCACCCGGAGAAAGCATGAAGCAGAAGTTTGATGAGATGAAGCCCGATGAGCATCCATCTGAGGCCCAGGAGGAAGCTTCCCCAGGTGTCTTCCCCATTGACCCCACTCGGGGCCCATCCCAACCTCATTCCCCTGTTATCTCCACACTTAGCACCATCCTTACACTCCCCGTGAAAGCTTTTCTCCTTTCCCCACAAACTCCACCTTAGTTCTGGACAGCGTTGCATTTTTGCTAAAGCTTAAACTTCATTTACGGAAAGATACTAATTACGTTTTTGTGATCAATTACCAGGGCCAGAGGGACCGAAGGGACTGACTGCCTTGATGGGTGAAATCACAGCCAAGCACATCTCATCTCCCACAGCCTTGGCACCGTGCTCCGGTGACAATGAGACTCGCATTCCTGGGCCCGTCTCTATTGTAAACACAACAATGAACTATGAGCTCTTTCTCAATCTTGTTACCACCAGCGTAAATTCACATGTCAGCACGTGACTGTTGCCAGGAGACTGCATGAGTGCCAGTACATGATGGAGGCTCCGGGTTTCATTCTGGTGCAAAGGAGAGGAAACAGCTTTGGTCGGTAGATAATGTGCAATGTTGCCGGGGGGTTCAATACTGCCAGTAAGCACAGTCTTAAAGTTCTGCAAAAACTATGCTTGCCTTTCATTTCTTTGTACTGGACTTGATCTATCTTAAGTGTCTGTAAGGTTGCTGCCCAGGGGACAAAGTCAAAGGCCAACAATGAGAATGAGAAAAGTAAAAAGTAATCTCGCTTTTCCTTCTGGTTTTGTATTTATGTTTGTTCATTGATTTGACTGCACCGGATCTCAGCTGTGGCACACGGGGTCTTTAGCTGTGGCCTGTGAGATCTAGTTCCCTGGGGAGGGGCTGAACCAGGCCCCTGTATCGAGAGCCCGGAGTCTTCGCCGCTGAACCACTGGGGACATCCCTTCCTCCTGATTTTAAAGCAGGGTCACTACTATGTCATCCATGTTGTATATTGCCTATCTCAAGATCCTCATCTCCTGTGAAGTGAATGCTTGGCCAGCGAAGCTCTTCTGGACGTCACATCCAGGGCTAGTGCTGCTCAGGTTCGGAGGGGGCGGCTGGCACTGCTCGCTGACGTGAACAGGGTCCTCCTCTCTCCCAGCGTGTGGGGGGCTGGCCTCCCTGATCCCCCATGGTGGGTGTGGCCACGTGACAAGATGTGGAAGTTCTGCATGCCACATGCCATGGTCCCGAAAAAGAGAAAAGATTAGGGCAATCGTGCCTACCTGGCGAGGTTGTGGAGCGGCTCCCACCCCATGTGGACTGTAAGGATGGTGGTGGACGCGGGGGTGTCCACAGGCCTGGAAGGGCGGCCTTCCTGGAAGAGGCAGCACAGGGCTAGGGGTGAAGGGTGGAGAGCCTGGCTTCCACCGGAATGGGGCAAGACCAGGGTGCTGTGGCTTCCGTGCTGTTCCCAGCTGTGGGGAGACTTGGTCCTCGGCCTTTTCTCGCTTAGCTGAGGGGAGCAGAGCAGACTGCGTGGCTGGCAAAGGAGGTCCCAAGACGACAGGCTTTGGATCGTGGCAGAACTCCTGGGAGGTTCTGTGCTCCATCCCAGAGAATTCCTAATTCTATGCGAGTTACCCCAAACGCTGTCATCTTCAAAGACATTCGCAGGCCCATGACATCTGAATTAATCAGAAAATCGGTCTCCTGGAGAAGAATCTCCCCCTCAGGGCTCCAAATCACGAGGCAGCACCTGGGGCAGAAACAAGATTGTGAACTCGCTTGGCCTCAGTCAAGAGGAAGAGCCTGTGTATAAGAGCTCAGCCGGACTGAACGAACTTTCCCACGGGCGTCCTCGCCACAGCAGGGCTGGTCCCTGCAGGCAAGTCTGGCTCCAGGGAAGGCAACGCTCAGCAGGCGGGGTTCCCGGTCTCTGGTGCTCGGCCAGCTCTGCTCCCGAGGTGCAGGGGGTGCGGTGGGCAGTGGGGGTCCCATCCTCCTCCAGTCAGAGACTGAGAGCCCGGGGTGCTCTAAGCCCCCACGTGACACGGCTTAGAGAAACAGGACAGGATCCTCAGTGGGGGACAAGTCCCGGTCAAGCCTCCTGGTCGACCTCCCCGCATCCGACTCCGACATGGACTCTGGGTTCGTTCATTGACCATGCGCCCCTCCCCCCCACACCACGCCCTCCAGGGATGCCTGAGAGTCACCTGCTCTGCAGGGGTCACTTCACGCACTTAGCCCAACTGCTTTTGGTGACCTGGCTCCACCAATCTGACGTCCACAACCTCAGACTTCAGCTCGTTTTGAGCATGCTTTCTCTAGTGACCAGGCTGTGAGCTGACCTCCACCGTCACCTACGACCCGTGTGCAGACCCTGGGAATGCACGCTTGCCTTCCCACCCTGCAGTTCCCGCCAGGCCTGGGAGAAGCAGGTGGGCTGACTCTTCTAGTCTGCTGGGCTCACGCTTTTTGGCCAGGCTAACCTGCCTGAACAAGCTGCTCAATTGCCCGGGAGCGCAGGCCTTGGCCCGTAAACTGGAAAGGACGCAGCGTCCCTGCTGTGCTGTGGTATTTGTGTGTGAGTGGCCGGTGGCACATCCAGCAGGCATCTGGTTTGTGTTGACTAGTGATACCCGCTGGCTGGGTGACCGCCGTGCTCCCCACGGGCACTCGCGATGACCTTGCTGGCCGGCTCTCAGCCTGCAGGGCTGTGACCGCCCCAGACACCCCAGAAGCTGGCGGTTTATGTATCGAAAGGGTGGCTGGGAGCTGCAGATGGCTCAGGCTACCCCGCCACTGGCCCGCCGCTGGGGTCTCCCGTCTGGAATGGGGGTGCGCTTGGCCCCGGGGAAGGTGCACACAGCAGGGCGAGCCTGGACGGGGGGCCCGCCCCCAGAGCAGGTCTGAGGGGGCTGCTTAGTCGCAGCAGGTCACCCGGGGCTCGCGGTCTCCGTGCTGACAGACGCCCCCACCACCCCGGCACGAGTCCTTGGTCCAGTCACCACGGGGCAGCATCACTGACGCTGGATGGACTCTGAGGGCCAGGCCAGCACGTGTCGGCCACGCAGGGCTCCCTGGGCTTTCCCCGGGTGGTCTCCGGTGACCGCTCTCAAACTCTCCCCAGCTTTCAACAAACCACGCAGGGCCGCGATGAGGGCTACAGGGAGCAGTCCCGGGAGCACTCCCGCAGCCCCCTCTGCCCCCAGCACGATGCACACGCTGGCTTCATCACGTGGCGCCTCCATCCCCGACTCCAGCCTCGGAAGGCCTCCTCAGTGGCCGCTTACTTCCTCCCTAGTTTATTAAAACTATCGAAAAACGTACATGCTATTTTTCCAGCATCTTTCCTTTCTTCTCCGGGTTATGAATCTGTAGCTGGTACTTGGACGGGTCTGAAAGCTCCCGGGAGATGGTGCTGGTCGCGTCTTCTGTGAACATCTTCTTTCTCAGGAGACACCTCTCTCACTCCCCAGTCCTCCTCTACGATCGTCAGAATAACTGGCCGAGAGTCTATTCAGGACTGTGCAGGGACCAAGTTTCAGCTGAATAAACAGGACCAATGACCAAATGGAGACTCAAGAAATACCCAGTTAGGCTCCCTTCTAACACACTGCTGTAACATAAGAAGTGTGGCTCTTCCGCATGGCATGTTCCTAAATATGCACGTGGCACATTTGCCTCCATTTCAGTGAAAGATTTTGCCTTAACACAGCCAGTCCCCACTGTCCCACCTGGAAACCACACAACAGTTTGGTGTCCCCTGTCCCCAGGAGGCAGCCAGGACCTCAGGAGCAGGCCTTCTGACCCAAGTCCCACACGGGCAGGGCTCCAACGATGACCTCGCCTTAGGGGGAAGGATGCAGCGTCCTCCCAGGAAGGACAGGCTGACAGCCCTGCCCGCGCCCGAGCGGGTTTCCGCCCTTCTCTGCCCGCCCAGCCCGGTGATGCAGCCCGCCCCTCCAGCCAGGCCCCCCGGCCCGGGAGGGCAGTCGGTACACGCTCCAGCGACCTTAGCCCCCGGCCCCCTCACTGGACGAGCTGGTGCCCCTCACCAGGTCCTCAGATCCTGCCACCATGTGAGCTCAGATGCCACCCTCACCTCCAGGCCAGAACAGCCCCAAGTGACTTCCGTCCCGAGTGGTCCCGGGACCCTCCGTGGGCGCTTCCGTCCGGCGCCCCTCACAGGCACGCAGGCGGCCCCAGAGGATGGCAGCACCTTCGGAAAAGATGAAGGCCCGCCAGGGAAGTCGTCACAAACCATCGCTCCTGGTCCCGACCACAGAGATGCTCAGGGCAGTGAGAGAGCATCGGAACAGGTGACTGAGCGGCAAATCAGTTTAATACGGAAATCAGCATATGCTTTAAAGGGACCAGATATCTTCCTCTTCATTCTCTAAACCGTATCATTATCTCATGAACACCCTTCTGTACAACCATCTACCAAGATACATGAATTGTGGCCCAAATCGTTTATCCAACCTAATAATTTCCAAATCACCAACAGATAGCTGAGAACGTTGGGGTGACACTTACTTGACGAAGCTGTCCCCATAAGATGCCCCTGACTGAGCCACAATCCACATGGGACCCCCAAAATCCTTCCAACTTCCCCATTAATTACGCAGTCACTAGGCAATGCTAGTTCTTTAACACCCATGATACGGCCCACGGGGCAGAAACGGTGTGAGCACCTGTGACATTAACCCCCATCACGTGCAAATATTCCTCCTGTCTCCAGGACTACTGTCTGACATTTTTGCAAATTCAACATCTCCGCTATTAAACCGAATCTTGATAATTGGTTCTTGGGCTGTCATATTTAATAGCCAGCTGAATTTTCTTTCTCCATGGAACTTCACACGTGCCATTTGACCCAGTTTCAGAATTCCGGATTTAAAAGCCTTAACATTTCATTTTATCTTTTCCCTTTTTTTCATTAAACCACAAGTGCCTTTTCCCATAATTTTTAGGCAAGCTGCTGGCTCTTCCACGTGGACCAGCCACTGTACATTTTCATTTGAAATTCCATGTCTTATTTCTTCTCCTGAGCATAATCTTCTCCTTTTCCTTCATGACTTCGTTTATTTCTTTTACGTGTTCATTCACTCAGGAAACATTTATGGAGCACCCCCCAGGGTGACGCACACTTTAAACACGTGGAATACCTCAGTGACCAAAATCAACAATAACATTAGCAAAAACCTCTGCCCTGAAGGGCTTCCAGTGTGGAGGAGTGTGTGCATGCCCAGACACTTCCGTCGTGGTCCCCCTTTTGTGACCCCACGGACTGTACCCCGCCAGGCCCCTCTGCCCGTGGGGTTCTCCAGGCAGGAACACTGGGGTGGGCGGCCATGCCCTCCTCCAGGGGGTCTTCCGAACCCAGGGATCGAACCCGCATCTCCTGTATTGCGGGCAGATTCTTTACTGCTTCCCCACCAGGGAAGCCCAAAGCGCAGAGGAAAGAAAGCAAAAAGAAGCACAGCAGGAAGGAAAACGTGTGTTTAAAGGCGATAAGGGCTGCGAGCAGGAAATCAGGGCTCGGCGGGGAGTTCAGGAGCTCTGGGACGCAGGGGCTGCTTTGAAATTTTAAACTGGATCTTCAGGGCGGGTCCCACCAACAAGAGTACGTGTCTGAAAGCTTTCTTCACCCTTGCATGACTGAAACATCCTTCTCGCAATAACTACATAAAGTTCTGACGGCTTTGTGGGTGCGCAGTGTTTATCAAAGCCCATATTAAAATGCTTATCCTCTTTCAGATGACAAATTTTATTAGAGAGGCTGAACTTACCTTGATACACTTTTTAAATGCTACAGCAACTCTAGCCACACAGGATACAGGCTAAGATACAGATATTCTTCCGATTTCCTTTATTTTTATTCCTACTTCTAAAGACAGAGTATTTCATCCCTCTGCTGTCTCCTTGGTATATGAAATAAATATAAAGCTTTTTGAGAAAAGCTGTGAGGTGATCAGTTTACATATTTTATTATATCATTTGGATATAATCGAATGTGGTCATTTTAGATGATCTAAATTAAAACACCTGGAATTTTTATAAAAATTAGCAGAAGTGACACATTTTCTCTCTCCAATTAATTGCAGTTAAACTATAATTGCAGTGTAATTGTGACACGTGGACACTGATCATACGTTTCCAATTTATTCTCTGTGGGAAGGTTTTTCCTCTGAAATTATTTTTTCAAGCACTAAGAATAATGATTGATGTGTAGCTACATCTACCCCTTCCAGAACCACGATATCAACCAAACCATTAAACCATTTCCGGAGCGCTGCATTTTGCACTTCAAATACAGTACCACAGTATTCTTAAGTGAAAGAGATGAAGTATGACCGACAGGGACAGAGATTTTGCTGGCTTGGCTTCTAAATTTTTCTGAAAGTTGCTTTCACATTTCAGTAGATGCACATATTTAGTCAGGAGGGTCAAAAATCTAGATGACAACAATTCAGCTACGTCAATGTTATTTTTTCAAAGTTCTAGTAAATATTTCATGTCTGAAATGCCTGATTAACTTCAGCCACAGGGTAGGAGATGTGAGAAATTATGATGGGACTTTCTCCACGTTCTTTTACTTGAATTATTAACATCCTTTAATAAAAACATTTGTGCTTTTATTATTTTAAATATTTATGATATGAAACTGAATTATGATATCCTTTAAAATTTTCCCTCATTAATCATCACAAATATTTTTTATATAAACTGTGCATTTAATGGAGCAAGATTATCCTCGTGCTAAAATATCTGGGTGATTTAGCATTTTTATCTGTAACATATGTTGGCATCGTTTGCATCCATGCTTAGGTCAATGCTGACGGTTTTGTTGAAAAAATCAACCTGGCTTTAATTCCAGGAATAGAGCTTTCCTAACGCATTCCTGCATGTGTCAAATCCTGCTCCAAGCCAGCCAGGTATGACGCAGCATCCGAAGATGCTCCAGGTGGCAGATCTCATAACAGCGTCTCTTCCTTATTCTTTGAAAGACTCGGAGGAGCATGCTCATGAGATTGGAAGGGAGCGTTAACACACCTACCCAGAGCGGTGCTGACAATATTTTATTCTGAATCTGCGGTTACTACTTACATAAGAAACTCAGTGCACCACTGCAGGAAAGCCTAAAGGTTTTCAGAAAACAGTGAAACAGGGAGCTAGTTTATCTGTAGCGGTCATAACGTTTCCGTGGCCACGACAAGTCTCCATCAGAATTCACATCACTATGGTATCACACGACACTGCCTTCGTCTCAGCCACTGCCGTGCTGCTGACCAACCACCGGGCAGACAGTCTGGTGTTCTCACCCTCAGTTCCTTCTTGAGGGCCTGGTGCTCAGGGCCGAGTCCGGGGGCGCCGCTGGGGCTTGGACGGCAGATTACTAAGTTATCGGGCAGGGCGGGCCTCTAGAGCGTGCAGGTGGCTTTTTCATCCAACTGGTAGAGCGAGGAGCTGGCCACAGTCCTCTGTCCTCACCCACCCCCAGACTCCAGCCCGGAGGCTGGCACAGCCTGCATGCTGTGGTCATCAGGGTGTTAGCGTGGGGTGGACCTGGTATCCCTCACGCCTCTTTGGGCACTCGGCCAGACTGCACATCTTGTCCTAGGGAAGGCCTTGGGTCATTTTCTTCACCCCAGGAGCATTACATCAAGATTGTCAGGAAATGGACCAATGAAAATTCTCAAGCCATTTACCCAGTTGCCTTCCGTGAACGCTTTGAGGATGCGATGAGAAGATGTATCCAGAGAGCCTGCTTCACCTCCAGCCCGAGGAACCACCAGCACCAGCTGGTCTGGCGATGCTGTGCCCGCCCCACGCCCTAAACGCTCATCCTCGCTGGCTCTCCCCTGGCGTTTGGGTCCATCCGTCCAGACATGAGCCTTCTCCCGGGCACCTCCTATCTGCATACTTGAGGCTCGATTGCAAACTCAGTGACTCATTCCTCTGATTTGCCCACTAAAGGCCTGACTTCAGTCAACTCTCTGCTAACTGGGGTCTGACAATCCAACTCAAGTATTTGCTTTTAATGAAGATTATGTTTCTCCTGTGCCTTCCACATGGGCACGTACCCAACATCCTAACAGCAGAAGGCAGGCGGGAGAGTAACCAGTGAGGCTGCTATAGTTACGGGTGTGAGCTGCAGACTAACCTTGCCGTGGGATTGATGGCACCACCGTGGTTACTCAGGGTTGGAATTTCTTGCTGTCTGTCTCGACTGTCTAAATATTTAGACGCATGGGACCCACACTATACATATTTCTTTCCCCAATTACTTAGTTCTCAGCTTGGCCCACAAATAGAGAATGAGATCGCTTTGTTTACAGTGGAATGAGAATGTCTTTTTTGAGAAACCCAGAGAATAGATTTTCTAAACTGGGCAGGATTCTTTACAGAAGTGGGAGACTTGCTATAACTATTCTTTGAAGGCGAGTGGGGAGAAAGAGTTTTACCAGCCTTAGAGAAGTTCTCGGGCACTGAGACTGGGATTGATATCAGATCTGCAGTCACCATGACCTCCAGGGTAGCATCATCCACTCACAGCATCAGCTGACCCGGGAACCACGGCCCAGGAGCCCCGACAGTCCTGCAGTGGCCACTGCCTTCCACCCGTGCACCCCTGGGGAGCCCTACAGGCTCCGGGGGCGCCCAGGTCTGGAGCTGAGGACCCTGGCTGAGAAGGATGGCTGGGAGCATGGGGGGCTGACTGGACGGCACGTCTCCCTGAGGCTGGAGAGCAAGGGGCAGTCGGGGCCAGTCTTGGGGGCCCAGGGAAGGGAGAGCATCTCCAGGGAAATGGAAACGAGAAAATTCAGATGGAGAGCATGAAAGTATCAGCTCAAACAAATGCAGGTGAACAGGTCACCAGCCGTGGTCCTAGCGAAGAAGTACCGACTTGTGCGGTCTGCCCGTCTAAACTCGAGTTCCCCTCAGTCACACAGCCCATGAGGCCCACCCTGCTGGGGGGCTGACACGAGCCTGAACTGGCGCGAAGCGTGCGCAAGTCAGGCTGCTCACGTAGGAGCGGGCCTGTCCTATTCAGAGCAGCGTCTCTCAGCTCCCTGGCCCAGCGGCCACCGCATCTGCACAGGCCGCAGGGCTGGCCACCCGCTCGGGGCCGTGTTCACGTCCCAGGGGCCTCTCTCGCCCGGCCCCCGAGCCCCAGATGAAGAGGGACGCGCTCACAGTCCATTCCCGGGCGCCACCCCCTGGCAGCAGGCAGACAGGTCCTCACGGCGTCAGCCCCGACCCGGCTCCCAGGTTGGTGCTCAGCTGCACGGAAGCCCCGTCCTCCCCGGGAAAACACCGCCGCCTCCTCTCTGCGGCCTCCACCTCTGCCCTGGGATTGCAGGCCTCCAGCCACCGCGGGGCCCCTGCTCTGCTT